TTTTTCCTGTACCCACTCCCCACACCCGACTGAATGATTTGAAACATTCTCCTGGGACAGGGACACCCACCCCTGCCTCATCCCTCCTCTCTAGCAGAAGTCTCGCCTCTGGAAGATTGTTCTAGATCAGGTTCCTGAAGCATCTCCTGAGTGGTACCATCTCTGTCCAGTTTCTCCCTAGAGCCTGAAGTCTTTCTCTCCCTTGCCTCCCCTGTTCACACTCTGACCCTGCTGATCCCAGTCAGTCCTCTGGGCCAGCACTGGAGAATGATTCTGCAAACTGCCCTTCTCCTACACACACGCACACGCACACATGTGCGCACGCGCGCGCGCACACGTATGGGGACGAAGCAAGATGCCATGTACAGAGTTTACTGTTTAATGGTAAACAAAATAGACTTCCTATAATCATAGATGGAAAGGAAAATTAAAAACTGGTAGAAAAAGCAGCACTTTGGAGGAGTAGAAAGCAGTTCTATGGAATATTTCCTTAGCACCAAAGAAGGAAAAGGAGACCAAAGCAGTTTATTTTACGTACTAATCTGGCGTGACCCCTCCCCACAGGTTACCTTTTAACAAACAAGGCAGTGGTATTAAAATTGTCAGCAAAATTATAGTGTGAAGTTAACAATACAAAAACCAAATCTGTAAGACTTTCCTATTTTTTTTTTTAATAACTTTCCCTCCAGATTATCGTGGATGATGATGACAGTAAGATATGGTCGCTCTATGATGCCGGTCCCAGAAATATTAGGTGTCCTCTCATATTTCTCCCCCCAGTCAGCGGAACTGCAGATGTATTTTTCCAGCAGATTTTGGCTCTGAGTGGATGGGGTTACCGGGTGATAGCTGTAAGTATTATTGATTCAGTATTCCAGTTCAGGTCCATGTGTGTGTGGGGGGGGTTGTGCTTCTATTTCTGATCAGCTATAGTGAAGGGCACATTTTTTATTGACGTAAGGTACTGTTTTCCTTTTTTAAAAGTGAGATGAAGCCTTTTGAAGGAAGGTGGTATGGTACACAGACATACAGAGATGCAAAGGGACAGACCTCCATCAGAAACTTTCTACATTCCCAGCTTTTCTGTGCATTCTCTCCTGTCCCTCTTCTCACAAGTCTGATCAGTAGGAAGCATTGTCCTTGTTCGTAGGTGAAGAAACAGAGGTCCAGGCCATTTTAGTGATTGCCTCGGGTCACACAGCCAATAGGTGGTGGAGGGAGAACCCAGCCCAGTCTTCTGACTCCATTTCCCCTCCTCGTTTATTACACCACTGCTTTCAGGGGAGGCGAGCATGGAATGTTAGACAGCAAAGAGATCTAACGTTGGGTGACTGGGAGCTTCTTGAGTCTTCTCTGTGGAAGGCTGGTGGGGAGGGCACTGTTGCTGTGACATTTCTTGGCATGCCTCAGCTGTAACGACAATGGAGGGTGGTCTCCAACTTCCAAGGAAGGGAGATCCCTGGGATATTAACATGGAAATGGTACTCCCCATGGGACTACTGCTGTTATTACACATTTTATTTACTGTCTTCACGGAAAGAAAATGTGGGCCAGATCTCTTCTCTTGGAAGGTAACCAAAAATTCTAGTGAGGGCACCACCAACTGGGGCCACACAAGACAAATGAACTCCTCTTCCTCCTGGCAGCCCTTTTCTTTCCTGAGAAAACTGGTTATTATCGGCAGGCACTGCCTGCTGCCTTCCCCCCAGGTCTTTTCTTCCCTGGTAAGTTCCTCCAGATTCTTGAACCATTCCTCACATGGCATGTTTGAGTCTGCAGCATAACCCCTCGTGTTCTGGGAGTTCAGTAATCCCTCTTTGTGGACAGCCTTCCAGGAGAGCAGGTGGTAGCCCCCTCATCCCAGCCCTCTGCAGCTTCACACAGGACAGCCTTCCGGTGGCCACTGTTGATCAGCCAGGGAGGAGGAGACTGAGCAACCCCCAGGCTCTGTCCCCCCAAAGAGCGCCGTCGAAAGCTGACTCTGTTTATCCCTCTAAACTGGCATTTTAGAGATTTTGCCTCCTGGGATTTCCCTATTTCATTAGCTAGGTAATCAATCAAGGAAAGGCCACCAGTGTTTCAAAATTACTTTGTTGTTTAAACAGAATGACCAATCCATGAGGTTTTGAAACTTATTAGGTATTCGTTAGTATCTAACAGTTAAAATGCACAGATACCTTTTTCATTTACATTTTTAAATGAAATCTACAGCTCACATGCAATTGTAAGAAATAATTCACAAAGATATCCCTTTTGCACTTTGCCCAGTTTCTTCCAATGGTCACATTTCCCAAAACATCATACAATATCACAGCCAGGGTATTGATATTAATATAATCCATCCATCTTATTTAGATTTTTCCAGTCCTACTTGTACTCAGTTATGTGTGCAGTAACTTGTATATAATTTTTTCATCTGTCTAGAGCACAGATCTTTTTAAATTAAAGGTTTTAGTCCTGGCCAGGTGGCTCAGTTGGTTGGAGGGTCGTTCCATAGGTTTCGGGTTCAATCCTGTATGGGAGGCAGCTGATCAATGTCTCTTTCTCTCCCTCCTTCCCTCCTCTCTCCACCCTAATGTTTCTCTCTCTCTCTCTCTCTCTCTCTCTCTCTCTCTCCTCCCCCCCTTCCTCTCTCTCTCTCTATCATCTCTCTGTTAGGGTATCATCTTACTCAAATTTTCTGCTAGAAAGAGTCTGTTCTCCATGCTGTCTCAAAATAGCAGAATCTTATCCACAAATGGAATTTTAATAGTAAAAGTAACACAAATTTTAAAAGTACATCAAATCTGAAATGATCCCATAATTTACATGGAAGTATTTATTCTAATGATTTATTAATGACAAAATGCATGTAAGTGCTTAAAACAACAAGCCTGTCAGATGGGTTTTACATATTATTAAAGAGAGGGAATTATTAGGTGACAAGCCTGAGTACCCTAGAAAAGAGTTAGTGACTTTATTTCTTTTTTTCTCCTCATCATCAGCATTAATAGATGGGTGACTTAGGGTCAAGCACCATACTTTTTTGGTCACAAAATAAAAAGTTCAGGAAATCATACAGACTAAGTCAATGGGAAAAAAAAGGGACAATTTTATTGAATGCTCCCTTAAAGAAATGCTACCCAAAAGAGAGGGTGCTCTCGTTAGAACAGTTTTGTTCCCAGTTCTCCTGAGCCACAACTCAGAATGAATTTAGATCTAAGGAGAAGCAGTGTTTCTTTACTTGGATGGGCTCTGCTCTGTGTACCTTTAAACCTCAGAGTCTCTCCCTATTTGGAAAGGAAGTTGATGTGAGTTGAAATTGTTATTCACATAATATCACTAGAATGTGCTTACTTTTTATTCTTCTTAAAATTGGTCTGTTAGATAAAATGTGAATTTTGAAGTTTAGGAAAAGGTGAGAAACATATTTACATATTTTGAATAAGGAGCAAAGCTTGAGCAACTGAGAAATGCTATTACGAGAGTCCTAAATTTTTCAGATAATATGAGTTTAAAAAATAAAAATAGCTTAGTTCATTAAAAATAAATTAATTTTTTTATTATTTCAGTTGCAATATCCAGTTTATTGGGACCATCTTGAATTCTGTGATGGATTCAGAAAGCTTTTAGACCATTTACAATTGGATAAAGTGAGTACCATGAAACTAATTACTTGTGTGTGACTTTAAATGCAACATTTGCATTATAAAGCCTGGTGTTGTTTTTCTCTTATTTTTTAAATAAAATCTCTTTTGAGATAAAAGTCACATACTATACAGTGTACCCCTTTTCAAGTCTATAATTCAAAGATTTTTAGCATATTTACAGATATCTGCAGTCATCATCACAGTCGATTTTAGAACACTTTTTTCACTCCAACAAGAAACCCCATACTCAGCAGTCACTACTCACTCACCCTCCCCCTAACCCTGGCAAGCGACTCTACTTTCTGTCTCTATGGATTTGCTGTTCTGGATGTTTTGTATAAGTGAAATCATACAATATGTGGTCTTTTCTGACTGGCTTCTTTAGCTTAGCATAAAGTGTTTGAAGTTCATCCATGTTGTAGATGTAGCAGTACTTCATTTCTTTTTATTGTCAAATAATATCCCATTTATGAATATAGCACATTTTGTTTATCCATTCGTTAGTTGGTGTACATTTGGACTATTTCCAGAATATTTGGCTATTATAAATAATGCTGCTGTGAACATTCATGTACAAGTTTTGGTGTGGACAGGTTTTCAGAGTGGAATTACTGAATCATAGTGTTTGGGTTTTTATTGATATTTAGAGAGAGGAAGAGAGAGGGATAGAAAGATAGAAACATTGATGAGAGAGAAACATCATCGATCAGCTGCCTCCTGCACACCCCCTATTGGGGATCGAGCCCACAACCCTGGCATGTACTCTGACTGGAAATCGAATTGGTGAACTCTTGGTTCATGGGTCTATGCCAGTGATGGCGAACCTATGACATGCGTGTCAGAGGTGACACGCGAACTCATTTTTTTGGTTGATTTTTCTTTGTTAAATGGCATTTAAATATATAAAATAAATATCAAAAATATAAATCTTTGTTTTACTATGGTTGCAAATATCAAAAAATTTCTATATGTGACACGGCACCAGAGTTAAGTTAGGGTTTTTCAAAATGCTGACACGCCGAGCTCAAAAGGTTCACCATCACTGTCCTAGACTCTTGAGATGGCATTTGAGAAAAACTTAACTCTTTCTTGAATCTACTTGGTGACACAGAGAGGCTCTGAGGCTGACTGGATTGGGTGTCTGGTTACTTCTTAAGCACGTGTAACTCTTCTTGGGTAGCTTAAGATATATTTTAGTTTCCTAGCTGAGGAATTCCTTCTGGTTTTCTCAGATCTGAATCTCTGAGATGGCCAAAGGGATAGTTCTCTTACAATATTAGTGGAAATGAGTTATAATTGGAAGTTCTTTAGTATTTTTGAGTGCCCCCATATCTTCATGAGAGGCAAGGCTAAGGGGGAAACACGAATGTAGAATCTATGAGGACAACTTCCTTAGGATCTGGAGGAAATCCATATTACTTTACCTGCTGCAGATTGCCTTATCCAAGCAGGTTTTTTTTTTTTTTTTTGGCTACCACATGCTATTTCCAAAGACAGGATGAGAGGGAATGGGCTTCAACTGCAGCAGGAAAGATTAAGGGCAGAGGTCAGGAAGAACTTTGGTTCTGTGACAACTATATATCAAGCAAGGCCAAGACCAGGGGATGTTTTGGCATTCCCTTGGAATTGTTAAAAGAACAGGACAGATTACTTCCTATGCTCACTCTAAACAGAAAATAGTGTGACAAAGGAAACAGCTTTGTGTTAGAAATTTCCTGTGCAGTACGAGCTGAGGACTGGGAATTGAGATTTGAGGCCGGAATATCTACCAGCAACTTCCTTTATGCAGACCAATGCTCAGGATGCCAACTGACCAGGGCAACAGGGAAGGCCATCCGCCCTTCCAGTTTCTGAGGGATGCTCATAGTTTCCCAGCTTCAGAATTTTCTGTCCTTTGCTTTTCCTCTCAGCTTGCCGTTCAACTCTGCATAGCTAGCTCCATTTTAAAAAACAAAATGAAATAAACATTTGGAAACTTTGACCATCCTATCTAGCCACTGTCTTTTCTTCTTCACCGCCAAAACTTGGTGAACAGATGATTCAGTGCCACTGCTACCATTCTCTCACCACAGGCTCCTGTCCTGTTTCCAGTCAGGTTCCACCCTCCACTTCACTCCCTCACCACATGCTCTCTCCTACAATTGGGGTTCGCCTTCCTCTTTCTCTCTCAGGTCCCTTGTAACCTACCTGTCTCCATGTCCTAGTCCGTGTTGCCCCTCACT